AAAAATTCAGTCAAAATCGGGTCAAACCCATATTTTATAACTGATTTTTCCAACATGCATATCACATAAACGGTGGACATATTAACATGTGTCCACCGTAGAGCATTACTGTCAATACAAATATTAATTATTTAAATATTTTGAAACTTTTTAAAAGTTTCGAAACAACACATCAAGACTTTCAAAAAATCTTAGAAAAATACATATCTATTTCTCAAAATCTTAATCCGATACATCCAAATTAATTAGCATATGAAATACTAGAAACAAAAAATAATTAAATTGAAAGGGGAAAATTAGATTTTTAATTATATAATTGGATAAACATTTCCAAAATACAACAATATCCATGACATTTTGGTCTCATCTCCGAGCATTGAGGCACCTACAAAAGTCTAGAAACTGAGAAGACCCAATTCAATGAGCCCTAACTCTTCCCCCAATTTGAGTCTCGACCTTCCTCACTGTAGAAAATGCAGAGAGAAATAAATCTGAAAAACCAATTTTATTTTCTGGTAAAACTCTCAGCTCAAAAATACACGGGTGGGCTATTTATACCCGATCCAATATTCAATCCCTTATAATGTACCAAAACGACACAGTTTTGGTCATTAGCTAAGTTCACTACAAAAAAAAGAACAAACACGATTTAACTACAAAAGAAAACACATAGCTGCATGTCTCCAACACACATTTGAACTTCACACTTCAACATACACACTTCAACACTCACCGATCAGTGCCCAGTGAAATTTTCAAGTCAGTTTGCATCTAAACCCAGTTATCAAAAACTCCATTTACATGGTATTTTTTCGTGTTTTCTAGTGATTTTTACATGTTGATGTGTTAAGGAGATAGTTTTGCATTTGCAGTGTTATTTGTCGTAGAGTTAATCGTTCTGGGTAATGTTCGTAAATTTGCAGGAACTTTCATGTCGATTCTGCACACGAAAAATTGCATCTTTTATTAGGGTATTTGATAACTGCTGAATGTTTTTCAATGCAATTGCATCCTCATGATGAATGCGCTTTGATTTTAAGGCGATTGCGGCAGCATTTCTACCCCTTTAATTTTAGGCAATTTCATGATTGCGCTTTGATTTTTAGGCAATCAGTCGAAGGTCGTGTTTAGAATGTTTTACTCCTCGACTCTTTTCTCCTTATAATGCATGATGGAGGACCGGCAAAAATCCAATTTTGGTCCGCTAACTTGTCCATTGTCCACTTTTGGTCCGCTAACTTGTCCCTCATCAAAAATGGTCCATTATGTTACACTTTTCATCAATTTTAGTCCACTAATCCCGCAGCCCAGGACGGGATTACGAGATGCCAAATCAGACTTTTATCCTACCACGTCAACATCTTATCCCTCCACGTAGTTTCAATCCCGGCCCACGTCAGCTTGTAATCCCGCCAACTGGAATAGTGGACTAAAACTGATGAAAAATGTAACATAATGGACCATTTTTTATGAGGGACAAGTTAGAGGACCAAAAGTGGACAATGGACAAGTTAGCGGACCAAAATTGAATTTTTGCCATGGAGGACCACATCTTTACGGTTGGCCAAGAATTCCCCGACGTGAAGTCATTCCGCCACGCGATCAAGGAGGCCGCAATTGCCCAGCACTTTGAACTCCGGATCATCAAAAGTACTGATCTCGTCCGTTACATAGCCAAATGCGCGGTTGATAACTGCTCGTGGCGCGTGCGTGCTGTCAACCTCCCAAACTCCTCAACCTTCGCCATACGAAGCCTGGACCCCACGCACACATGTGGAAAAAAAGCGCACGCGTGCCATCACCAGGCGTCGATCAACTGGATTGTGAGCTTCATAGGTCAAAATCTTCGTGAGAACATGAATTACAAGCCAAAGGACATTTTACAAGACGTATATAAGGAGTATGGGATAACCATACCATACAAGCAGGCCTGGCGGGCCAGGGAGCGTGGGCTCCAGGACATATACGGGTCCTCTGAAGAAGGTTACTACTTTCTCCCGGCATACTGTGAGCAAATTCGGAAAACAAACCCGGGTAGTATAGCTGAGGTGTTTACCTCCAGTTCGGATAATCATTTCGAACGTTTGTTCATCTCTTTTCGGGCTTCGTTATGCGGGTTTGTTAGAGGTTGTCTCCCGATTATCGGTCTCGGTGGGGTTCAGCTCAAGAGCAAGTATCTCTGCACATTGCTTTCGGCCACGTCAGTCGATCCGGACGGTGGGTTGTATCCCGTGGCCTTTGGTGTGGTTGATTTGGAAAGTGACGAGAGCTGGATGTGGTTCCTCTCTGAATTGAGTAAAGCGCTCGAGACGTGTACTGAAATCCTGCCGAATATTATTTTTCTATCCAAATGGGAAAAGGGAGTGGGGGAGGCCGTGAAGAGAAACTTCTCGGGTTGTTCTCACTATGTCTGTATGAAACATTTGAGCGAAAGCATTATTCGGGAGTTCAAGAATCCCCGGCTCGTCCACATCCTCTGGAAGGCTGTCCATGCAACTACTGCAATTGCGTTCAGAGAGAAAATGGCTGAGCTCGACGAAATTTCGAAGGAGGCTGCCGATTGGCTGGCACAGTACCCGCCCGCCGCTTGGGCTTTGGTTTAATCTGATGGGACTCGATATAGCCACCTCTTGTCGAACAATGACGAGCTAAACCAGTGGGTAATTGAAGCCCGAGAGCTCCACGTGATTCAGGTAGTCGAACAAATCCACACAAGATTGATGGCAGAGTTCGAGGAAAGGCGTGCGAAATCTGAGTCGTGGTGCTCTGTTCTTTCCCCTTGGGCAGAGAAGCTCGTGGCTGACTCAGCCGCACGAGCTTCGGCTTATTGGGTGCTTCGGTCAGACGAGGCTGAGTTCGAGGTTCTCTCTGGCGGCGACCGGTCGGAGATCGTGAACATAAGGACGCGCTCGTGTTCGTGCCGCGATTGGCTGCTGTACGGAGTACCTTGCTCACATGGG